TTATTTTTAAGTCTTGCTACATGATTGACCCACTTTTTTTTCCTGGGCACATATTTCTCTGGAAGAATTTTTTAAATGAATATTGGGTTGAATTTTATCAAGTCAACTGCAAAACTCTGTAGGAAAGAGAACACTTCCTTTTTTAGTTAGGGCAACCAGTGGGAGCTCTTTCAGTGGAGGGGAAGGGGACACTCTGGCGGTGGTAGCCAGCTTGAAAGTAATCTGAAAATCAATCTGTATGCCTTTATTGACCTGGGTGCTTTAGTCTCCTGCTGTTAGAATTTAACAGCTCTTGCCAACTCCTGAAAAACATCCAATCCAATTCTGGGTGCTTAAGAAACTAAACACCTGGTTTATATCACTTGGAATTTTACATAACTCCTACATAGTCATGAAAATTAGCATGGGATTATGAGCCCAAAGCCTAAAATAAATGACACTAGATTTAGAAAAAATAATCAGGATGCAGAAGTAAGTACATTAATAAAAGTTCAAAATATAAGACTGACAAATATGAGAAGTTTTGGAGAGAGTTTTAGAGACCAATAAATATATCTTTATCAACTGGGAAAGTCACAGAGATCAAGGAGACTCATGGAAATGTTTTCAATATTAGAGGCTTTTGGATGCTACACATTCAATAAGCATTTATTAATTGAACTCAATTTAATTTCACAGCTACTTATTAAGCACCATACCATTTGTGAGGCACTCCGCTACGTATTGAGGATTGTTCTGTCATTTCAGTTGTGTCCAACTCTCCATGATCCCATTTGGGGTTTTCTTGGCAGAGACACTGTAGTGGTTTATCCTTTCCTTCTCCAGCTGATTTTATACATGAGGAAACTAAGGCAAACAAGGTTAAGTGACTTGCCCAGGGTCATACAACTAGTAAGTAGCTGAAGCCAGATTTGAACTCAAGAAGATGAGTCTTCCTGATTCCAAACCCAGTGCTCTAGCCACTGTGTCACCTAGCTGCCTTTACTGAGGGTAGAGACAAAAAAGCAGTCTCTGCATTCTAAGAGCTTATGTTTTATGGAAGGATACAACATGTATTGATAGCATTTGCATATTTTCTATTATCCAAACAGGATAAAACATCATTCAAAGTACAAACTGTGGCCCAGAACCCAAGCTTGGATTTCATGGACCTGATTCAATATTGGGGGTGGCATCCCAAATCATTCTCTCCTATTATCCACTCCCAGAGTGGCCTCTGCAAAATCTCAGAAAAGAGTCCAAATGTAGTTCATATCTAGTACCAAGTAAGTAAAAGAGTTAGACACAAGCACTCAGGGTAATAAGTGCATACACTCAATGTAGGTTAGCCTTTATTCCCCTCCACAGAAAATGAAGAAAACACATATAAGACTCACAGTAGTCCATAATCAATACAGTTTTCCTTCCTCTCAGATGATTCCTCCATCTTCTCTAGGTTTCTAAAATCCACCCAACTCAGGTCCACCTTCTAGTTCAGACTCCCTTTGGAAGAGAAACAAACCTTGGGTAGTGAGGGAGTGACCACATCACATTGTGAGTTCCTCTTTACCCCCAGACACTTCTAGAGGCATCAAGCCATGGGATGTCATGCTTTAGCTTAGACTCCCCTGAAGGGAAATACATGTAGATTTGTTAGAAAAGCAACACTCTGACAAGCATCTACTTCCTGCAAGTTATTGGTACTAGAAAGACAATACAAAATAAAAAAGTGTTCTTACCTTCACATTCTACTGGGTAAAGTTTACATCCAGGGAAAAACTAAAAAACTCTGCCAGAATAATTTGTACCTTTTGTTCCTTGATTCTAAATATTCAGGGTTTTTAAATCTCTAGAACTTTGACTTTATTTTTTTCAATTTTCATTCCGATACTGATGTGATGAAGACAGCCTACATTGGGGTAACTTTGTTTACATTTTCATCTCATTGATTCAAAAAAGTGAGAAAAAAGTCTGAATTTTTAAAACTTTGCTTTTTAAATATATGGGATTTCAGTTCCAAAATAGTACCAAGAAGGGACATGAAACAATTCAGGAATGCAGAAATATAAGACCAATGTTTGAATCACACAATCTTCAAATTTAAAATTTGGAAAGGACATCAGCAGAGCCCTAGTTTAACTGTAACATTCTCATTCTAATATAGTCAACATTTGATAACCCAGCCTGTAGGGCAGCTAGGTGGTTCAGTGGGTAGAGCACCGGCCTTCCAATCAGGAAAACTCTTCCTCGTGAGTTCAAATCTGGCCTTGGATACTTACTAGCTATGTGACCCTGGGTAAGTCACTCTGTTTGCTTCAATTCCTCATCTGTAAAATGAACTGGAGAAGGAAATGGCAAACTGTTCCAGTATCTTTGCCAAGAAAATCCCAAAAACAGGTCAAGAAGAGCCGAACAATAAGACTTTACATTTATCCCTCTTGAATCTCATCGAATTCAATTCTGTCACATAGTCCAGTCTGTTCTTCTGGATCCTACCTCTGTTGTTTAGTATGTTGACTGTCTCTCCTAGATTTGTGTCATCTGCATATTTAAAGAGCACATTCTCTATTGAGACTATCCCTTTATCCAACCATTGACAAAAATGTTAAACAGCACAGGACCAAGGATTGATCCTGGGGAGGACTCCATTAGACTATATAGAAAAGCAGCAACAAATTGTCCATTACTTAAAATTTAAATAACTTGTAATAAGATATTACTTCAATATTTAATCCTTTTTTTTAAAATAGCTTCTGAACAATCCTTCCACTTGGAATCTGCTTCTTTAACCTGCAACTGGTTGAGCAGACTTCCACGTACCTGAGATTGCCTCATCTTCCTTCACTACCCTATTTGGTCTCCATTTAGAGGGCTAACTGGGGCAATTTACACAAATATTTTCTCAAAAACTCTTAGAGACTCACATAAGCCAGGATCCGCAGAAGTCAGAAGCACCACTTAAGAAATTTTCTAAACTTGAAATATGTACATTTTGAACAGTCACTAAGGTATAAAGGATATTGCATCTGGAATCCCAGGACATGGTCCAAGGCTCTGCTCCCTCTGTAACTTTGGGGAAATCTCCTCAAGCTCCTGCTCCTCAGTTTCTTATCTGTAAAATTAGAAGATTAGACTAGAGATCCCCTCTAGGTCTTTTCTGGCTTTACTCTCAGCAACAGGGGAAAGGGCTGTCAGGAAAGGAGAGTTCTCTTACCGTCCTCCCCTTCATTCTTCCACATGGCTCAGGAGGGTACATTGCTGGGTGCCAAGAGATTTTTCTTTTATTCACAGCTTTCAATTGTTAGTACCTCAGCCTCAGGTTTTCACTATTGAACCAGGCATCTCTGAGAGATTTCCCTGCTACCTAAAGTGTTTTCTTTTCATAAATGACAGCTAGGGGGGCCTTTTCTATTTCTCTCCTTTCATTACAATTCTTGTAACATAATGGTATGTCCTTTTCAGTGACTTCGAGATAACTGACAAGATAAGCAGAATAGCATACTTCTTAGCAATTTGTACCATTAGAGAGATGTGGACATATCTACTGTCTTTAGAATTTGCAGGCTTTTAAAACATATCAGCAGAATTTGTTTTTCTAACACCAACCATCAAACCCGGCAAGTCCCTTTTCTCTCTGCAGAATTGTATTTCCACCTTATGAGCCTCTATCTGAGTTCCCATATTGACTGACAGAGCTGTGAAATGACTGTGCTATTTACCATGTAGCTGTCTTCAAGCCAGGTCACATCCTCCCTTTACAATGATTTTCCACCCACAAGAAGCCCATTTGATATGGTCTTGGGCTCAGCTAAAACTTTAATCACAGAATGTTTCAAAATATAATTGGCACTTAGCACAGCTGCCAGAGTATGGTATAAAAAAAGTCATATTTGTAAATACAAAAACTAGAACTCTTCAATATAAAAAACACCAAATTAGCAGAACCCAAAGAAAATCATCATTCAAGAAGGAAGAGAATGGAAAGGAGAAGGAGAGGGAGAGGGAGAAGGGAGGGGAAAATAGGAAGGAAAGGAGAGGAAGGAGAAGGGAAAGAAAAAAGGAAAGAAGGAGGGAGGAAGAAAGGAAGGAATGAGAGAAAGAAAAAGAGAGAAAATAGTAAGTCTATACCATTAACTAGTACAAAAATAGAATTTTTCTTCATATTTTGGGTAGTTTAAAATATAAACACAGTATACATCTGTTTCTCTCTAAGTGAGAAGTTAGATGAAATAAAAGCCTATATGATGGAAACACTAAAATATGTACTTATACACACACCTTTTTAATTTGTTTTTTTTAGTAGTTGCTTACCTCCTACCTCTTACCCTCAAATTCTCAAATCTATTTACTTTCGACAGGCTATTCTAGAAATTAAAGCATATAATATTCCAAAAATGCAAATATTGCCTTTTAAAAGGATATAAACACCCACCAACATTTTTAATACTTCTGCTGTGCTTTGTGATTTGTTGCCAACTAGTTCTATGTGTGAATGGGTGGGTATGTGCAGATATACACATATTTATATATGTGCTTATCGGTATGTGTTCATGTATATTTAGGTATCAGTTTCTCAAATCTAGTAATTTCTTCTACCCCCACCCCAAATGCTGTACAATATCCTCCAATGTGTGGACAATGTTGTCATAAAAACCTAAGTTTTATTAGAGGGGTTTGCATAATAAACTAATCCGTGGCTACACAAAAGTAACATGCCACACTATTCAACACCTCCATGGAAATGATTCAAAGGCAAATGACCTGTTTACTCAAAGGGGAGGAGGGAGCTTTGGGGACTTGGGGAAAGACAATTCAAGCTTAATAAACTTTTTTTTCTGGACAATTCATTTTCCAGGAGGAAATAAACAATGACAGCTTATGTTACAAAGGGCAACAGGACCAGGAAGGAAAAAAAGGAGGCCCTAGATTTAGCAAACCAGTTTTGAAAGGTTGCCCAGCCTTGTCTAGGACGCCATCTTTGATACTGTGCACACAGTAGACACTTAACAAAGGCTTATTGAGTGCTCAGCAGCACATATACTAAAAATTGGAATGATACAGAGAAGATTAGCATGGCCCCTGCTCAAGAATGACCTGCAAATTTGTGAAGTGTTCCATGTTTAAAAAAACAAACAAACCAAAAAACAAAAACAAAACAAAGGCTTATTGAATACTAACCTGATCAATTTTCTGTCATTGAGGTAAAAAAAAAAAGACATTTCTCTCTGTTTTAGTCCCTGAGCAGGGAATAAATCTTGGAAGATACCTATGAAATATTTATTTTTATTGTCCTGTTATCATTTCTCACTTTGTGAGCCTACTTTGTCTCAGGAGTTTCAAGGAAATCTCGAGAATATAACAAGAAAACAAAAAAGAATTACTTTTGGAAAAAAAAAAAACCCTATGCCTCATCATATCCTCAATCAAAGCTTGTTGTCACGCACTTACTATTAACCACTCAAACTGATATTCTTTATTTGCTGACTCCAAAGAGGAAATTATTAGGAGAAAAATGAAAAACCTTTATGACTAAGCTACTTTGCATCATCCCATTCAGGAAAGTGTGGCATTAATAAAATTTCCTTAAAAGAAAAAAAAAGATCCCTAGAGGGAGGTTTGCCTGAGCACAATGTTCTGTGCTAAGAGAAAGAAAATAGATAGGAGATTACTGTTACTGAATTAAATTCATTAACAAATATTTTTAAGTACTTGCTGTGTGCAAGGCACTGTAGTACTGGATAGAGAACTAGTCCTGGAGTCAGGAAAACCTGATTTCATTTTGCAAGGCAACTGAGGGGTTCAGTGACTTGCCCAAGGTCACACTGCTAATTAGTGTCAAGTGTCTGAGGCTGCATTTTAACTCAGGTCCTCCTAACTCCAGGGCCAGTGCTTTATCCACTGTGCCACCTAGTTGCCCCGAGTAAAATCTGATTTCAAATTCTACCTTAGTAGCTGTGGGCAAGTTACTTAATCTCTGACTACCTCAGTTTAGTCATCTATAAAATGGGGGTAATAACATCACTTACCTCTCCGGGCTGTTGGGAGGAGAGATAATATTTGTAAAATGCTATATAAATGCTAACTATTATTAAGAGGCAGGGATAGGTATTATACATATTATACATACCATATACATATGTCCATATATGTATACACACAACATTACTCTGATCTCAAGGAACTTAAAAAGACAGTTACATGATACAGTAACTTAAGTACATATAAGAGATATATGCAAAGTACAATGAGATATTTGAGGGAGGAGAGAGGAACGGAGGGAGGGAGAGAGATAGAAAGGGAGGAAAGGAGGGAGAGGGAGAGAGAGAGAAAGAGAGAGAGAGAGAGAGAGATCACATTCATGTGAATTTGGAGTTAATCTTGGCTTTATGGAGGAAGCAGGACCTGTTAGATTTTAAATGAAGTGACTTCAATTGGGTGGTAGAGATGCGAAGAGTCCACTTGAGGCCAGAAAGACAAGCGAAAAACAAAATGGGGCCTAAATGGACAAAAATGGGGCCTAAAAATTTTTCTAATTTAACTAGAAGTAGAGTTCATACAGGGGAGCAGTATGAGATAAAGCTGGAAGGTAGATTGTAGCCAGATTGTAGTGGGCTTTGAATGACAGGACCAGTTTTTACCTTGTTTAATGGGCAATGGAGGAGGAATTCCTCAAGGTTTGAATAGAGGAGTGATATAATCGTATGTGAGAAAATATGCTTTTAAATTCACAGTAGGATGATTTTCCTTTGTTTCAGAAGACTATGCTGTAGATGTATCTATTTTTTACTGGACCTGTGATTTTATTGCCTTAGGGAATTACCATTGAGGAAACTTTCTACCAATATAAGTTGGAAGGTGTTTTGTAACTTACAGTCTTAGCTGCCTTAAAGTGGAGATTCTTAACCTCTATCAGGCTATGTACCCCTTCTCAAAATAATGTTTTTAAATGTATAAAATAAAATAAATAGGATTACAAAGGAAATAAATAGTATTGAAATAAAAATGTAATATTTTTCCATCCAAGTTCACAGACCCCTGTGAAATCTCTCTGTGGAACCCAGTTTAAGAACCTTTGCTTTAGAGAAATAGATACAGTTAAAAAATAAACAAAAAAACCAAAAAACAAATGCATTTTAAAAATTCAGATCTGTTTCCCTAGCAAAACTTTATGTGGCATATTTACTTATGTATTATTCTTGCATAAATATCCCCCTTTCCCCCCACATTTACATAAGACAGGAAAATATTTATTTAATTTCTTCATATATTCTTTTTATACTTTGAAAAAGCAATTACAAATGTGAGCAGAAACTTCTCCAATCTGAAGACACTTTGGACTAGTTAGAATAGTCACCAGGTTAAATTAAAGGAGCAACAGGCTGATGATTATTATTGTCTTTGTTGCTGTTGTCTCAGGGGCATCTAGGTGGCAAAGTGGCTAGAGCATGGGGCCTGGAGTCAGGAGACTCATCTTCCTGAATTCAAATCTGGCCTCAGACTCTTGTTAGCTGTGTGATACTGAACAAGTCACTTAACCTTGTTTGGCTCAGTTTCCTCATCTGTCAAATGAACTGGAGAAGGAAATGGCAAGCCAAGAAAACTCCAAATGGGGTCATGAAGAGTTGAACATGACCAACCAATAACAAAAGCTATCTTTTAAAAATATTATTATTGTCTAGGCAGTGGGAAAAGATAGTCAGTCAGCACCTACTCTTTTATCTTTATTTCACTCAGCTACTTTTATTTCCATTTTCCTCCCTTTTTCTTGCTGGGACTAAAGATAAATGGTTATTTTCACTGCCAAATGCACCTCCTCCCCAAAAAAGCTTCAAGGATGGGGAACCTGCGACCTCGAGGTCACATGTAGCATTCTAGGTCCTTGGGTGAAGCCTTTTGACTAAGTCCAGGTTTTACAGAACAAATCCTTTTATTAAGGGAATTTGGTCTTTGAAGTTTGGGATTTAGCCAAAGGGCTGCACTTGAGGACCTAGAAGGCCACATGTCCAGTTTGGCATTTTGCATGATGTACGCTGCATGTAAGTTAAATAAATAAGGTCACTATATACATCCTTGTTGTACTCCTTTTCCAATCTTAAACCAATCAGTGACTGTTTCTTCTTAGGCCACATACGGGTTCCTCAGGAGACAAGTAAGATGATCTGGTATTCCTATCTCTTTGAAGGGACTTGTCATATTTTGTTGTGAGGCACAGAGTTAAAGGCTTTAGTGTAGTCACTGAAGCAGAAGTAGATGTATTTTCTGGAATTCCCTTGCTTTCTCCATAATTCAGGAAATGTTGGCAATTTGGTCTCTAGTTCCTATGCTTCTTCAAAAACCAGTCTGCTCTTCTGGTAATTCTTAGTTCACATTACAGCTGAAGCCCAAATTGTGGAATCTTAAATGTAAGTATAGACACGATAATTAAAGTCATGGGAACTGATGAAATCACAGCAAGAAAGTGAAGAAGAGAAGAGAACCTAGAAAAGAATCCTGTAGTACATCCACAGTTAGGGGGTAAGAGATGGATGATGATGCTACTAAGGAGAATGAGGATTCATCAAACTGGTAGGAGGAGAACCAAAGGAAAGAAGCATTACAAAAGTTTAAGGGGAAGAGAGTATCAAGGAGGAGGGAGAGGTCACTGAGGTCAAAAGTTGTAAAGAGATCAAGAAGGATGAGAATTAGAAAAATTAGATTTACCCATTAAGAGATCACTGATAGCACCAGAAAGAGTGGTTTCAGTTGAGGGATGGGGTTATAATTCAGATTGTAACGGGTTGAGAAGTGAGTAGGAGGTGAGAAAATAGAGGCAATAAATAAAGATGGCTAAATATCATCTTTTGTTTTCTGTACAAACAAGCAAACATCCCTGCCCCCCAAAAAATTTGAACCACTGCGTCATTCTACTGAGTAGATATCCTCTTCATCAACCATTTCTGACTCTGGGGATCCAGTCTTTAATCTAAACAATCCACCTATTTGTCAACTTCACTATGCAACCTGACCAGTATCTTTTCATGAAGTAAATAGTCTCCAGAATTGCTTTTCTCCAACCACTAATACCTCACTCACCTTCTGCAGAGCTCTTCATAAAATGAACAGCTCTCATTTCCTTAGAACTTTAAGGTTTGCAAAGCTCTTTCTGGTAACATACCTAGGAAATAGGGAATGCTAGCATTATAAACCTTGTTTTGCAGATTCATTATCAACTGGTCATGCAGGGTGAGCATAAGTTTCTGTTCTTCATCTTTTATTGGAATCAACATTCTGCTGTAAAGAACTTCTCACCTAGTCCTGTGAAGCTGGGCTTTTCTGCTGCGATCTTCATAAATGCCTCAATCTAATCCAGGCTCCCTTGTGTCTTCTTTATTTTCACTGTTGTATTGCCAGACTCGGTGATCATGGTTAATATTTTCTATCATGTATATTAAAATTACAGTCTGGTGAATGTACATAACATCATTAGATTTCAAGATGGAAAAGTGCCCTCCCCTTGCCTTTTCTTTGTCTCTCCCCGCAACCTAGACTCCATCACGACAGCCAAATAGGAAAAGTGACTTGACTATCCATGCAACTTGGATGAGCAGGGAGTAGCTGACTACAAGCCTACTAGTAAGTACCTGGAAGACCTCCAGGCTTTGCCATCTTCTTTTCTGTTAAGCCCTCCAAAGTCCTGGCACTGCAATTTATTCTGCTTCTGGACCCCCAGAATACTCTGGGACCTTCCTATCTGCCCTGCTGCTTCGCCCTTAGGACTTTAGAACCTTTCCATTCACCCTGCGGCTGAATTATTTTACATGCATTGTCTCCCCCAGTTAGAGAGTTAGTTCTTTGAGATTAAGGACTACATAGTTTTTTTTTTTCCTATTTGTATCTGCAGTGCTTGGAACATAATAAGCATTTGATAGATGTTTTTCATTCATTGACTTATTTCTACTCCTTCACTGTACATCGAGAGAAGCAGGTCCACAGAGATAAAAGTGATTTGTCCACATAGGTAGTAAGTAGCAAAGCTGGAAATTTTGACTGCAGATCCAGTCTTCTTTCCACTTTACTCTTTTGCCTCTTTCTCTGTAATGCTTCTGCAACTCTGGTGTCAGGGCACCTTCCCTGACACAAGATTG